AGTTCCGGGACAACCTAGTATGTTTTTCTCCAATACACAAATTTTCAAATTTAGCCCTTTCTGAAACTAACAGAAATTTTTTTGAATTTTGAATAAGTAAACTCTTTGTACCAGTAAGATTTTATTAGATTGTCCCAAGAGTAAACTCCTTTTTTGGGTACTTCAAACTGTTTTCGTTTTATTAGTATATCTAGAGTATCATTCGAAGAGCAGATCAAGCTCTACAAAATGACTGGCAAAGGTCCGCTTAGGTCGCGTTTCATCTAAAGTCTGAAGCCAAATTAGAAGAAAATTTTGTCACCTGCAACTTGGATTTTTGCGAAGAAAAACCATACGGATCTCCAATACAGTAGGTGCATATTAGTACTCAAATATGCCTTTACTGGATTTTTTTCGGCGCATAGAAAGCGAGAAAAATGGAATTGTTCAAAAATGGCAAATTCCGTCCCCTACATAGTTGTTTACTAAATTCTTTACAGTGATTGTTACAAGTTCTTCCGGTCACCAGAAAGAAGCGCAGCAAACAAGGTTGTAGTTTCTGCCGTTAATCAACAAGAAAGGTCCATTTAGTGGAGTGAGTACATGGCATCTGAAAATAGCGTTTCAATTAACATCCATATTCTAAAGCACAAACAAGTTTAAAGCTTTTGAATTGTGTGTCCTTGTACAAGCTACAGTGTTTTGCGAAAGGACAAAAACAAAGGATCAATTTGAGGATGTTTGACTTCAGCTACGCTGCACACGACTTTACGGTATTGGTTTTCCTCAAAGAAATGAAGCGTTCGGCGTTGGATAGGCATTCAGGCTGCTTTAGACTATGTATTAGTAGCGCATAAGTTTCGCAGCCTGGTCCATATCTTTTCTCTTCCTATGAGGATTAGATTGTGAGCTACAAATCTGCGCAAACCATTTTGTTTCTGGTGGCGAAGTGGGAAAATTATGCGCATTTTCCGAAAGCTGGTAAAATCAGAGTTTCACTGGACTGAAAGCAAAAAAGAAGTCGTTTCCAACCTGTATCAAACGCATCGAACCGAAACTGTACACTGTGAGAGTATATGTACCAACTTTGTACAGTTTCCTCTTGATAGGTTTAGTGCAGATTGAGAACGGCTTCATTTTTGTTTATGGTACGATGAATATTCTGATTTTACTAGCTTTCGTAAAAAGGGCCAAATCGCCACCAGAAACGAAACGATTTGTGCAGATTCGTAGCGCACTATCTATCTATATTATGTAGGAAAGAGCGCTACATCCAAAAATAGAAAACTTATGGAACAAGTTGCAAAACTTATGTGCCAAGCTAATATTTCAAGACTGTTGTTGATTGTTATGGCTAGCCTATGCAAATGCAGCTGGGAAATTCATAGTGTCATCCTGAGTACCCAGGGTCTCACTTGATGTTAGCGGATTGTGGAAAATCGTATTAAAATATGATAAACAAACCTAATTCGATGCACCATATGCAGCACAGGGGTGAAACCTGTAAATACAGATACTAACAAGCTACTGTAATATAACTCGATACACTGCAATGTTAGAGCCTTGTAATGACGCAAGTTCAAATTTCGAACATCGGGGTCAAAATACAATGTTGCGTAATGGAGCCTATTTTGGAAAAGACAGCTATGAAAATTACTCTTAGCCGCTCGAGTTCGAATAATTTTAAAGGCAGCGGCTCGGCAGAATGACAACTTTGAAATATCGTTCTCGGTTCTCCTGGATGAGCTGAGTCTAAGACTGTAGTTTGTAGCTTAAAAAGATATCAATAACCCGCTTTTTCAGGTGTGAAAAGGGCTATTTGAAGGCGGACCGCGTAAGCCTGTCCTCGAGCGCGATTGGCTCGTGGGTAGGGTATATCCACTCACGAGCCAATCGCGCTCGAGGACAGGCTTACGTGGTCCGCCCTCAAATAGCGCTTTTCACGTCTGGAAAAGCGGGTTATTGATATCTGTTTAAGCTGCAAAGTACAGTCTTAGACTCAGCTCATCCAGGAGAACCGAGAGCGATGAATATCCCAAATTTGTCTACCAAGCCGCTGCCTTCAATTCATTGAGAGATTACCAATGGTAATTCCTCTGTGACAAACATTTCAAGCAGCACCTCAGTCAAAGGATGACAATTCCATTTCAGCTTTGAGATTGTAATATTGGGCTGTCCCATATTTTTTACCGTTTTTACTATGACCGTCGTCTTGTAATTTTCCTTCAACTGATGTGTCTCGAGTAATCGTTTGACAGGGCAAAGCAAGCTCTACAAGATGGCCATGAAGAATCCGCCCAAATCGTATCTCACTGGAAGTTTTAGGCTGAAATCTGATAGCTGTCGAAAATCAACCTATCCTTAAAAAATCGTATCTTCGCCCCAAAATGTCTCAAAAATTCTCCATTTATCTTAGCGTGTGCTTGACACTACGCACATTCATGTACTATTTCCGTATTTTTTCATGGCTAGAATTAGTGAAAAAAAATGAATGGGGTAAAATACTAAACTCTGCCAATAAGCATCCTGAGCTCCTCCCACGCACGTTATCATATAGCTCATAAGAAAGAAGTACGACCATGTATTTCTGACTTTGAAGGTACCCCAGTTCTCGAGAAATGCTGATGTTTAGGGTAAAAACGGTAAAAAAGACTATGGGACACCCTAATATTAGGTCGTTCCGAAAGTAATGTCGCTTTTTTCAAACAAACGCCACATCTCGAGTAACAACGATATGTAAGAGGTTTTGGTAGCATTTGATGCAGCATTTCATTCTCTTTCTGAAGGTTACATAACCACTGCACAAGATGCAATAACCTTCCGAAAAATTATCAAAATCTGCGACCCATGCTTTTTGAAAAGGCCAAGTTTCACAATTTTTCTGAATATTTACAACAATCCTCGGAAGGAGTCCAAGTAATAGATGGATAGAGCAATCCTTACAGAAAATAGCACAACTTTTTTCTACTTTCCAGAGCTCGTCATAATTTTTGTATCGATTTTTTTGGTAGGACCATCAAATTTTAGCAGGCTAGCTTTAGACACAAATGCATCAAACACCAATAAATCTTCGGATTTTGAAACTTACAAAAATGGATTATGGTTTAACACTAATTTTACAAACCAAATGAGCGTTCATCGCTTCAGGTTAGCAACTTTCGAAAATTCCGGGTACAGCCTGGGGCGCCCTGGAAAACCTGAGTTATGACGATTTTATCCCGAAAAACTTGATGAATCGGAAACAAAAAACAACTGGCAGAAAGAGGAGGAAAAGCTGCGTCGAATGACACCCGAGCTGTTTGCCGGTTGTTGTCCTGTGAAGTTTGAGTTGACCAAATATGAAATTTGATGGAATTGAAAAATTGGTTCCAGAAACTCTGAGAAGCAAGGTAAGGAAAAGGAAAAAATCAATCGGTGTCCTATAGGGTTTGCTCTGTCTACCTGTCACTTGTACTTCTTCGGAAAATAGGTACAAAAATTTAGAAAAATAGCCGAACTTGACCATGGCAAAAAGCATGAGTCGCAGGTATAGGTAATTTTCGAGAGCTTATTAGATATTATGCGCTGAAATTGCAACCACTAGAAAGAGGATGAAATGCTGCATCGGATGCTCCTAAGATCTCTTGAAATTCTTGATTCCATGAAGTGTGGCGTTCATTTGAAAAAAGCGACATTACTTTCGGAACGACCTAATATTTTGCAAAGTATCGTTTTTTTTTGAAGTTTTGCAAGCGAGAAATTCGCAAACTTGTTCCCTTTTAGAGCGCTTAAAAGAGGCTTTCTAAGTTTTTCTGCTTTATCGACTAGTTTCTCTGCATCGATGAGCTCATGGTAACTACATTCCTAATATTCCTCTTTCGCAACACAATCTGCAGAAGACACCGAGTCTTGGTTTTTTTTTTCTTGAAAAATTTTTTATCTGAAATTGCACGTTGCGTATTCAAAAATTTATTTATGATCGGTTGTAGAATGTATAATAATGGAATGGGCGTGGGCGTTCACAATATACAAATCAGTTAATGTACATTTTCCTGCTGCACAGTTTAACCCAGTGTAAACGATCCCACGATCCCACCTCTTCAATGTTTTAGTATTAGCTCAGACAATCGCAAATGAATTCCGGGGAAAACTGGACTTCTAAATTCTCCGGGGCGAGCCCTCCTATTGGGCCGTGTAGATGAACCCTGCCCTACCTTGCCCCGCCCTACCTGGCAGCTCCAATAGGAGTGTCGCCCCGGAGGTTTTAAACTTCTGTTTTCCCCGGAAGTCATTTGCGATTATCTGAGAAGGCTGCATTGCAGACTTTAATTGCTCTTCTTCGACGTGTGCAATAATAACAACAATGACGTATGCAGTGTTTGGTGCAATAACAGGATATGCTGTTTCAAACTCTATACCATGTAGCTGAAAAAGGAAGAAAAATGTCTAAGTTGGCAAAAAAAGGTTTGCCCAAACTACTGTTTATTCAAGCTTCCCAAAAGTCTCTACAGAAATTTTGAAAATTATCGAAATTTGGACTTCGTGAAAACGAAGGCTGTAGTTTCCAGCAAATATCTCAGCATTCTTTCAACATAATAGTGAGTATAGCAGCTGTAAGGGCGAAGAAATTTTGCATAGGAGACAAAGATGTTTGTTTGCCTTTACTGTCGGGATTTGCCGGTCATTTCAAAATACTCACAAAACTTCGGGCACTGATATACTATTATTCAAATCCATTTGTATTTCCACAAGTTCAGAAGTTTTTTTTACGTACTATTAGAGAGTCAAACAAAATACTGTATAACAACACCTTACATCTCAACGATTCTGGGTAGTAAGCACAGATTCTACTATTTAGGAAGCAAGGGCAGCACACTGTGTACTGCCCAGATGAATGGGTTATTTAGGGATCTGAATGAAGGTCAGTAATTAGATGATCAACAAAAAAGGACTGTGTACTTGGAACTTTGCATTGTAGCAGTACATTGTACGAGTAATATCAACGCTATATAAAAAGCCTTAACACTCGATCAGCTGAGAACATGCTCAAAGTTTGCTGCTTTTTTGCGGTATGTTCATTTTTGAATAAGCTTAACCTTCTTATGCTTCTAAAAATTGCAGTTCGTGCTTGCGGTGGTATGTCATGAGGAGTTTGTGGTAATCAGTCGTGGTCTTGGTCAGGAGAAGGGGGAAGAGATGGCAGAGTACTTCGAAGAAGAAGCTGGCGAAGGCTGGAGTCTTGAAGTCAGTTCATATGCTTTAGCTAGCCTTGCGTTAAACTCTATAATTTTTACACGTGAATTCGACTAAAATAGTAATGGCCGGCCTTAATTTTAAAAAAATGCAGCGAGAGCTATTACTCAAATATTAGATTGCCACATAAGTTTTGCAGCTTTTCCCATAACTTTCTTCTTACTAAATGTAGCACTCTCATTTTTGGCATCTTGTAGAGTGCGAGTAAGCTTCAAGCCTTCGCAAACTTTTTGATTTGTGGTAACATAGTAGAAAGAATTCAAGCTCTCTAACATTGGCCGTATCGAGGCCGTCACCTCGATTTTTAAGCTTACCCTTGAAAATCGAGGTGACGGTTTTTTGATAAACATGAAGCCGTACAAAACCTGAATCAAACATATCACAAAGGAATCATAGGCAGCATGTAGCTAGAGATTGACACATTAGCATCAGTAGGAAAAAGTTGAATTCAAAGACAGATTAAGATAAGACGTCTATGAGAAGTAGAACAAGTCAAATGCGCCAAGTTTCGAGGGCAATTTGTCAATAACCAAGTTGTGATACCTCAGAATTCGCTAAAACATTGCACAATAGGGCAATCCAATACGGTGAACACGAATATCATATTCATTTGTCTCTAAGATAACATTCATTTTTTGACCTTACGAAAGAGGCCTTTTCATGCGAAACCGATTTCAGTTTTGTGATCAGCATGCTGAATAACCCCAATAGGCCAAGTTTCAGCAAAATCCGACGCAATCTAAAATTTTCCCCATTGCACCGTAAACCTACCGTAACCCTTACATAAGATGGCAAAATTCTACAAAAATGTCTGCATTTGCAACTTACACTATAGTCTTTATTATGCCAGAAAATGAATGCTCTAGGTTCGAAAAGTAGAAAGTGTAGCTATGTAAAAGTTGCATTACTTTTGTGCCAGCCTAATACTTGATCTGAGAAGCATTTAACGTATTCTAGTACAAAAAAGATTCGGAGAAGTCGGTCTTGGAATACCTTGTATGTGCTTGGGGATACGATCCATTGATCGATGGTCAAGAATCTGAAGCTAATTCAAACTCTCAAGTCGCAACTAATGACAACTGTAAAGAAAAGTTTGGCTTGCAAAAGATAAACATCTTGCATGGCACTTTTGATGGGTACGAAGCTTTTATTTGCTCTTAACACAACAGCTAAAGTAACCAAGCTGATTAAGACAGTACGCTACTCTGGATTTGGGAAAAATCTTGGAAAACGTAAAATTTAACTGGAAGAATACAAGAAGAGAAGGAGAAAATCCAGAATATCCAGACGATTCAGAAGATCCAGAAAATTTGGAGGAGACACTCTCAAAAGCAAAAGTAAGAAGCATAAGTTACAGTTTCTCTAATCTTTTCATTTTGAAAACCTGCTCATATCGTAACTGCTGCATTAATTTCTTCAAATAAAAGATGAGCGCAAATCACCTAGAATCTTTAACTTATTGAATTACCCTGCTAAAAAGAACAGGTTTGAAAGCATTTTTGCTGTGAAGGTTTTTACTGTCACCCAGAATATTGCAGCTCCACATTTCGGGCCGCTGCATTCATGTGAAATATTGAAATAACTTTAGCCAGCTTTGAATCTGTTCAAGCGTGTTATGACAAGACATGTCGATCACAAGCTTATGCATTTTTGCAGACGAATAAGCTCTCCTTTTTGGTACGCAAACGACTACGCGTTTTTGTAACTTTTACATTAGGCCAAGTTTCAACGACGCCATAGCGACTTCGGCCAGAAGTTATTGTAATGCTTTGAAGTTTATGGTAATCCCATCGCTTGATCAATTTTTTATTCTTGAGTAGGTTGATTCTTTTTCGCATACAGCTCCGTTACTTTTCCATTTGATTTTTTTTATATGAAACCTGCAATCCACAGCTTTGAGCGACCAATACGTTATGTATAGGAATAATTGCAGAACAGCGATGCCAAAGAAGTCTCCTGTGCAATACATTATGACTCATCTGCCTTTGAGTACGGGACCGGGCCGGCTCCCGGAGAGGGGAGCGAGAGTCACGGCAGTAGTAGAGAAGGGCAAGACAGCATCGCGAACGGAGGGGAAAAATTGGAAGAAGATCCCGGATTTGGAGATTTCGCGTGTTTTTTCAAATAAGCTAATGAATTCCTTCATTCTTTTTTTCGCCATCCTTTTTTTATCCGAGAAAAATCTAGCGCGAATCTAAATAAAAATTTTAGTTCAAACTATATGCAAGAAAATCATTTCAACAGAAAATCATCAGGAGCATCGACGACGAAAATGCCTAGAGTCGTCTCGCCTTATGTTTGCCACACTCCAATAGATCTTACATAATACAAAACGAAGGTCAGGCTGTGATGCTATATAAAGGTCTTGCCTACCTTAATCACCAGTACTGAGTTTTATGTGTGCTTCGATGAGAGTCGATGAAAAAAGTAATTTTTTTGCATTAGTGAGTATGTGAGGTTCTGCACATTTAATCTATCAGCAAATGAGGAGACCTACTCAAGATGGCCTACTGAAATAACACCTATAGGGCCTGAAACATTCAAAGCCGCCGATATGAGATCTATGCTTTGTTTACGAAAATAACTACAAAAAAAATCACACTACTTTCTGAATACTGTTTCTTCTTGCGCTTGATAAATATATTATTGTTCAATGTAATGAAATAATCCGTAGGTCTTACACTCAAACAACATGTTGGGATATTCAAATAACATTCAATCAAGCTTTAGTGTCAGAGAGGCGCTTCAAAAAGTACACCAGCACGTTTACCGCATTAATCGGGAGTCGATGGACATGCAAGTCAGGCACAGAGAACTGGAAATAAATTTCGGCAGAATAGAATTCAGGGTGTGAACTCGAGTTGTGTTCTACTCTTCTGTCTCACTCTAAATGAAGAATCAATTAGTAATATTTCCTTGTTGATTCAGATGTCGAGTTATATCCAAGCGTAATGCATGCTAACAATTTAACAGGGCATCTAATACTAGCTTGTATACTCTTGCACTTATCCGCGCATTTACTTCATGGCCATCGCTGGACAGAGACTTCAACTTCCCATACTCTTCACTGGCCGTTCTGGATGTGCTAGTCCCAAGACTAAGCTCGAAAGTTTTTGAATATGGAAGTCGCGTTAAAGTAAAGGACACGGCAAATTTATTGAGTGCTGGGTGCCGGGGCCGATCACCCCCGCCGCCAAGATATTCGGACGAACCACATCGGCCAATCACCGTTCTGGGGGCCGCCCCAATCCCATCCATTCGGCAAGATTCACCTTGACAATGTGAGTATTTTGCATCCTTGAAAAACGCATAGTTCATCAGTCTTTCTTTTTGTACGCATCAAGCTGTACACTGCAACATGAGGAAGGTATGGATATTTAGAAATTGCTGTATTTGCTTTTGTACTTTTTATAAAGTGCAACCGTTGTTCTGAGATCTTTGTGCACCAGTCTGCTAGAACCCTGGTTGTAACGGTTTCTTACAAAATTTCAAAATTTTGAGGACAGGGCAATTGTATGAAAAACAACATTGTGCTGCTCTATCAATCGGCTACTTGGGTCGAAATCATTGGTAGACTATACATCCGTAGAGAAATAAGTTCTGCGGTGAAAATTCTACCTAAATGCTGACCGTCTGCAAGACTTGAAGAGGCCAAGGACGAGGGCTTTCAATATAACGAGTTGAAGGAAAAAACAAAAGCAGTTTTCCAAATTTAGTGCTTGAATGTGAAAAACGACGTGCCAGTATGCGCGTAACTGCGCTTTCTGCGCGTCACACTGAGCCGGTAAAAAAGTCCTGCACTGAAATCTGTCGCTTTAAAATGTATACCATGTATACCTTTATTACACAAGGTCTCTTCAAGTACGTTGCCTGCTTGACCTTGATCACCTCCACACCTTAAGCATAATTAGTATTAGGCTGCTGCATAAGTTCTGTCTTATTTTTTGCCCTATGTTTAAAGCAGCTGTTTTACCTCTAATGCAGTAATGTTTATGTTTTTTCTTGCTCTTTCTAACGCATTTCAAATTTCAATAAATTTCTCAGTGTAAGAAGATTTCAGGCCTAAAATCTCCAAGTATCCGAGATGCGTTCTCACCCTATAAATAATATGTTCTTGCGAGGAAATCTCTGCAATGCGCCCTTCAAGTCAAGTTCTTTCATTGGTTGCAGAATAAGGATGTAGAAGGCTAGTATATGCAGAAGCTCAGTTCAATGAAGAAAACGTCTTGCTAGCAAAATTTATTGTCGAACACTAATTCTTTGAATAGGTGTTTTACAAGCAATAACTTTCTGCGAATAGAAGTAATCGATGAGTTCGAAGTTGGAGGTGTTAGAGTGAAGCAGAGCTAGCAGGGCCCAATTTCCAATTCCTTTTCGGCGCTCACGTCAGTTGTAAAAATTTTATAATTCCTAAATAGGCATGCACACATGTGCTGAAACGAGGTCAAAAAGTGGCTTCTTTATTGCTCGGTCAATAAAAAATCTCTTGGCAACGCAGACCCTATGGGCTCTTTCATGTTACAAAATAGTCTATGAAAATTCCTTTATCTATCCACTGTTGAGTAAGTTGCCTATCAATTCTCATAAGGGATCACTGCCATGTCAAAAAAGGCAGGTTTGAAGAAAAACGCTGCAAAGTTTTTGACTTCTTGCTTCTTCCTTAACAAGGATTTTCACAGTGTCTGATAGCCAAGGAATTGCTCAACGCAAAGAAACTAAGATTGGAATAAAGTTGCTTTTGAAAGAAGTTATGACATTTTGAGCTCGAAAAATTCAATCGGACAGAACTTATGCAGCAGCTAATATATGCTTGAATATCACTGAAGAGAAGTTCGAATGTATTGGAATACTATAAAAATCTGTTCTTCTAAATAAATCAAGCTGTGTTTGTTTCCCCAGCAGGACTTGGAATAGCATTTGATGGAGTTAAGGGAGCTCTAAACAATCCGCCTAAGTCGTAACCATTCAAAGTTTGGAGCCAAAATGTGAGTTTTTCAGCTGTCCCAAAATCCCTCTGGTGATCTTTGTGTAAAGAACGGATTGGTCTATTAAATGGTACCCCAAATTTGCTAGGAAAACATCAACAGTTTGATACAATAGGAAAACGTTTCATTTTTGGATCAACTTAATGCTAAACGCAGTAGAAAGATTTATCGATAGTTCTTCGTTAGTGTAGGATTACGGTAAAATTTACCGGCTGACCTTCGGTCACTAAAACCTTCTGCTCCAGAAAACTCTAAAAAATCTAAAAACTCTATTACGAACCCGGCTACACCTTTCACTTATATGTTCAAAGTATTCCAAAAATTGCTTGTTGAAAATCCATTCATACAGATCTTCAAGATTTTAGGAGATTTTATGCGAAGATTGTAATCAGGTTCGTGTTCTGGTAGTCACGAAGGGCTACGATATTCGCATTATGTTAAAGATAGGCCGTTCAAGAGTTGAAAGGTGAGGCGGCTTGGAAACTAGTCATTTTTACATAGTAAAGAATGGCACAGGTCGTACTGAAAACTACAAGAACACAAACTCATGTTGGATGAAAAGCTCACAAGTGGTGAGAACACAGCGTGAGGTGCCGTAATTGCACTATATTTTTGGAAAGGAGCTCGCTACCCTACTTGCAATCTTAAGTAATTATCTGTTTTTTCTAATATAAAGAACAGGTACTCGATTGACATTTGCGTGGTGATTAGTCTGACAAGGGAATGATCAGAAGTCGAAGTGGCCAATCCATACAAGCTGCATACCATTAGATGCAGCATGAAACGCTGACTCTAAATCTGTCTTCCTTATCTGCAGAGCGCTTTTGTGGACGAAATTATAAGCCGTTGAAGGCCATTATTTTGCTAAGAAATTGTGCGTGTAAAGTGCAAACTCGGCCGTACAAAGCCATTCTCGGCTCGATGTTGGACCAAAACATACAACTAGGTCACTTCATATGACCCGTACCTAGAGGTGAGCTGAAAGAGCAATAATTTGCCTAATTTCGCAATTTTTGTATACGGTTTTTTAGTACTCTGCGTTGATACCACTGCTT